CACTAGCTTTGTTTATTAAAGCCACTCCTCGTGCCTAGTTCAGTACTAGTTATCTAAGGCAAGAAGCCCTCCTCTGGTAAAAAGTGCTTTCTTTATACATCGGGCTGCTGACCAAATAGGTGGCAATTTGAATCCACCAGCTGCTCCAGAGGAGAGATGCACAGTCTCCTCTTCAAAAGGTTTACAGCCTTGCAAACCCAGCGGAGGGTCAGCACGACTCAGAAGGGCTCAATGGCAGTGGGTCTGGCGTGCATGTGTGTGTGTGTGTGTGTGTGTGTACCATCAAATAAGATCTGACTGGTACAGGAGGAGACTGCCCCTCCTTCCCCGGCAGAGCATCTGGTGGATTCGAACCGTGCGCCTCTGGGATTGAGGGTCTGGCTTTTGAGTGACACTAACCATCCAACAACTGGCCCGTGTGTGTGAAGCCAGGGCTCTCACTGCCCACACAGGTCCTCCCAGGGACTGGAGTCCTAGCCAGTTCTGCAACTCGATGCTGGCTGCCTTGATGCTAATCACCCAGCAGGTTGCATCTCTTCCCACTAAGTGTTTCCAGGTGCCACAGGTGCCAAATTCCTCCTCCCTGCCAGGTGACCCACGCATCCCCTCCCCAACAAGGATGGCTTGTCATCAGTACGACCTGTGGCGGGCCACCTCTCTCTCTACTACAGCCTGGACACTCTCTCATCCCTGGGTTCTGAGTGCTCTGGCCTCCCTCACCCCAGTGGTATCTCAGTCTGTCTTGATTTGTCCTTCCGTCTAGTCTTCACGCAAACCCACAGGAAGCCTTCTAAAAACATCAGTCGTGCAACAATGCAAAAAAGGTTAAAAGAAAACATTTTCAATGTTAAAAAAATAGTGAGTCAGTGCTAATGGATTCTAGGGGTTTTGTTGGGGTGCTAAAAATATTCTAAAATTGACTGTGGTGTGGTTACACAACATTGTGAATATACACTGTGAACCAATGAATCACACGGGCTTCAAAAAAGTTGGATCATGTCTCCTTTCCTCAGCACCCTCCAATGTCGCTCCAGGAGTTGCCCTTCTGGGTCCCTTCCCCCGCGGCTCACACTGTCCCCTCAAGTCACAGAAGCCACTTTGCTGTTTCTGTCCCAGGACCTCTGGATGTACCACTCCCTTGTCTTCCTTCTGAGCTGCATGGCCTGTTCCTCACTTCCTTTAGACTTCTGCTCCAGTGTCACCATCACAACTGACTCTCCTATCACCACATGCAAAAGGGTATTCCATCCCAAACACGTACTTCTGACTACAGCTCCTTTATCCCATCCAGGGCACACCAACTGTTCCATTCTAACCTTCGGTTTATTTTCTCTCTCTCCCTGTTAGCACAAAGGTCCCACGCAGCAACAGGGCTTGTGGTTTTCATTACCTCCCTACAACATCTTTACTTCCTGCCTGGAACATCCCTGGCACCTAAGAAATACTGAGTAAATACATGGTGACAAGTGTTGTCCCTTCTTGAGCCTGCAATGGGGGACAACCAAAAACACAGGTTTAACTCTCAGAAGATATATTTTCGACATTGACTTTACTGAAAATCCTAACTTCTTCTTTTAAAAAAAAATTTTTTATTATTATTAATATTTATGTGTGTAGTGTCAAATCGGGTCTGACTGGTACAGCAGGCCATTATTCCTCCTTCAGTAGAGCATCTGGTGGATTTGAACTGTGCACCTCTGGGATTGCAGTACAGCTTCTTGCCACTAGGCCACCAGAGCTTGCTTCAAAAATCCTAACTTCTAAATGGAAGGTTCTATATAAGAAAAATATTTGCCTTTCTTGGCATTCAGACTTGTTAAGAATGTCAACAACAACAAAAAAGAAATGTCAACAAAAAAAAGAAATCAGACTAATTTAGAACGAGATGTTTAAGTTGCCTAGTGCTGCTGTAATAGAAATACAAGTGGGTGGTTTTATTAAACAAAAATGTATTCTCTCAAAAAACGTCTGAATTCAGGACAGACTCTGGGGGAAGATTCACATCTGGTTCCCTGGAGCTCCCCAGGTGGTCTGGCATCAGCCTTCTCTCATCTCTGCTTACTCGTTTCATCTTTTTTATCTCAGAAAAGAAGAACTTGAATGACTAATCTCATTAACAAAGACAACTTATTTCCAAACAGAATTGTAACCACAATGAGAGAAGTTAGGATTTAGATGATACTTTGTGGAGGGACACAATTCATGATAGAGTATTAGGCTTAATTGCAAACATAGCTTTAAAAAGGTCCAAAAGATCAATTCAAAGCTTCCTGGGAGCACTAACCACAGGCTATTTCAGCAATGAATTTTTTTTCCCAGAACAAATTGGCATAAAGTATAAGCAACCTTTTTATGGGGGCAAAATGAATTGTGCTAGGTAGAGGTCAGCGAACAGAATTCACGTTAAGGAGACTTTGATGCTTCAAACATGAATAAACTCCATATCCCCATTAGGCTCCCGGTGAGAAAAGATAAGAACATTATGTTTATCCACATTAGGTCAAAGGTTATGTCTCCCACATGTTTATATCCCACCCCAGAGTCTGAGCTTGATCCACACCCTGAAATTATGTATTCATAAACTCAAGTACATGCTTCAGCTTAACGTTTTCAGGTCAATTTCAGAAAGCAAAACAATCTCTATGCCATTGATCTTCTACTATGTTGTTTCAAAAGTTTCTCCCCAAATCCATTTTGTCCTTTTAAAGAGAGAGAGAAGGGAAAAAAATCCACTCAAGTCCAGACACACAGCTCTGGAGGCCGCTACAGAGCTGCACTAACCCAAAGGCCGCAGGTGTCTTGTGGTTCAATTCACCAGATGGATTCTCCCCTCGTGTGCGATGTACAACCTCAGAAACCCAAGGGAGGGTCAGCTATGAGGTGGTTCCAGCAATAGTGCAGTCAAGGCCAGACATGCGCGAAATATCAGCCTGATTACTTACTAATTATGAAAGGACTAAGGCATCTTTTCAATGGAGGATCTGGTAGACAGTCTTCACCAAATGATCAAAACTCAGCATTAACTAACTAACATTAAGAGAATAAAAATGGACATTGAATGTCTCCCGATGTGATAAGCTGGGACAGTATCACCTATGGAGTATTCTGAGGGTGAAGAAACTATCAGAGGAACCCAGATTGTGGGATATTCTCTAAAACAATTAACCTGAATGTAAAAAAAAACATTTCTCAAGAAACCAAAACAAAGATGGGACAACACAACTAAAGACAGATAAAATCCCTGATTATATCTTGGAATCATTAAAAAAAAAAAAAGCTGCCATGAAATAGTATTTAGACACCCGGGGAAGTTTAAGACCTGTACATCAATTATTCAATCAATGTGAAATTGCTTGGGTGTGATACGGTTTTGTGGTTATGATAAAAATGTCTTTCTCTCAGAAGATACATGCTCAGAAGTAGAGGTCAAGTTCCTTGGCATCAGTAAGTTTCAAATGGTTCTACAAAAACAAATACATATGCATACAGATATGGATCTGTCTATACACACACACACACACACACACACACACATTTAGAGAGAGAAAGCAAAAGTGTCAAAATAGCAATGTTACTATTTAGAGGGTGTATCAGGTATTCACTCAAATTTTTGGTGGGTCTGATGTTTTCCAAAATAACAGGAAGGAGGGGCACAAGATTAATATGGCCCAGGTCTACATAATGTCAGTTTCAGCAAACGTCATTCTAGGATCTTTTCGAGAAAAACTTGAACCACCAGACGCTCATTGCAAAACTACCATTGGTACCTGCCCCAGTACTGGTGTTAGCCACTCTCCAGGTAGCCCCAGGCACAACTAATGTTAACACTGTTCTGTCCTGTTCATCCCCACCCCACGGTTTGCTGCTACTGTTGTGATGCTAAGGGTTTCTTCCACTGGCTGATGTCCGGAAGAGAACTGACAAGCCCTTCTTCGTCTGAAAACTGCTGCGACAGCAAGGGACAAGGCTCCACACGGAGTGGTTGCACTGACCAGGAATCCTGGTCTCTTGTACGGAAGGTAAGAATTATGCCACAGAGAACTACCTTATCAGCTTGTTGTTCACCAAGTTGTAGGAGAGAAGAGCCAAGCAGGTGACACCCAGGCGGTCCCTGGTGTCCACTGAACGGCGCCTGGCAGTCGCTGCCCAGTGGCGGAGAAATCACAGGTGCCTTGTTTAGGGCTCCAGTCAGTAACCCTATCCTTCTCTTTCATCGTCTCGAGCCTGAGTTCTCTTCCTGTTCGCTGAGTCGAGATATTTGTCAACTTTGCTGCAAATGCAGCAAATTCTTGTCTTGCAAGTCTGCCTGAAGAACTGTGAGTTCCCCCCCCCACCCCGCCCCGGTCTTTTATTAATCTTCCCAGGTAACTTTCCGAGCACTGACATGGTTCTAGTTATGATGTCTCAAACCCCTTAATAAATACAGAGTTGACAGCCTCTCAGGGCGACAGGGAGGGCTGGGTCAGAGATGAAAGATGTGTGGGTGGGGGCCACCCCGCAACAGGTCTCAAAGGGATTCCTAGAAAGAGAAGCGGGGAGAGTGGGCGGGTCCTGGCGGAGTCTAGAGCCCCAGAGCCCGGGGTTCTCACTTGTCCCTCGACTTCCGCACTGAGAAACAGAAAGGCCGTCGTGCACGACCCAATAGGCGTTCCCTCCGCCGCCATAAGCACCCCGAACAAGGCGGGGACCAGGCGCCTCCCAGGCTCCGCGAGGTTCAGCTTTGAACCCGGGACCCTGGGTTTCTCCAAAGGGCACGGAACCCGTCTCGATTACGAGGGTCCACCCTGCGACCTCTCCTACACCTCGCCTCCATCGCCGGCGGAGGGGCAGCCCGGAGAGGAAGTGACCGCAGGACCCTCCCACTCCCCCGCAGACGCGGCAGAAACCACCCAGCAGGCCGGCCGGGCGGAGGGGGTCAGGGCAACCCCGCACCCCAGCCCGACGCAGCCGGGGTTGAGAGCGCGAGGCGCGCAGTGCGCAGGCGCGGGGCGTGCCGGTACCTGGGAAGGAGCAGAGCGAAGTGGAGTTGGGGCACAGGGTCCCGTTGCCCACCCGAGGCACCACCTTTAAGCTGAGGATCTGTTGTAGGAGCCCGGCTGACCCCCCGCTGCCGCCGCTCCCCTCGTGCTCCATCTCGCCGCCATCCACGGCGGAAAAGTGAAGGGTGAGCAACGGAAGCGCCGCAGGAGCTCACGCTCCTTCAGCGACCACTACTATCCCCGCGCCTCGGCCACCACGGCCTCTCCGCCGCGGCCCTCTTCGCCGTCCCACCCCAACGGCGCTGCCAAGTGATGGCTCCTCCCTCCAATCACTGGGCGCAGCAGATGGCGGGGGGCGGGGCGAACGTCCTTCCCGCCCCTCACGTTGCGTACGCGTGTTCCGCTCCCTCTGAGGCTCGTCTGCTCCAGCAGGGGGCGTCCGGCTCTGCCCCTTTGCTCTCTATGGTGCGACCTGTGAGGGAGATGGACAGCACACCTCCCGCTAGTCCAGCGATGTAGCTTTAAAACGCAATTTACCACTTAGCCACCAGAGCTCCCATACTGCATTTAAGAGCTAAGATTAATTAGCTGAGATCACAAAACAAGTGGCCAAAAATGGGGATTTGAATGGAGGTATTCTTTCCAGGGACCACGTGGCTAACCCCCAAACACCATATTTTGAAGACAGAAGCCATAACCCAGAAAGAAATTCCAGGCAGGTCACTGAGTTGGTCTACAACCGCTCCACTTGTGGTCCCTTCTCCATCCCCCGGCCCCCACATGGAACAGGCTGGCCAGGCATTCCAGCTGGCCCCGGAAGAAGCAAATTATTTTTCAAAAGTAGTATCTCCAGAGTCTCGGGAAGATTTTGTATTCATAAAACCAAAGCATGCAGCTTTGGTATAGGGACAGAAAGTAAGAAAGTGCTCTTAGAAATTCTATGAGAGACAAAACATCAGGGGCTCTTGGCTTGTGCATAATTAGGGCAGTCTGTAAGTGGAAACTTAACCCCATATGAAATCTTGACATGAGTCTAGACCCCCAAGAAGCTGCCCTCCCAAGGAGTCCCTTTACCCTTCCTGCTGTCTTGGTCCATATACCTCAAGGACGACATTCTTTTTCTCAGGTCTGGCTAAGCAAGACATCTTGTCTATTCCCAAAGGGTCTTTGTCATTATGTAAAGAGTCTTGAGAGACATGGCTATCTAAAGCTTTACAGTGAACTTCCTTCCAGAAATAGAAATGACTGGGGAAGATTCAGTTGCCAGAAAAATTGTCCTTTCTACTGCCCTGGAACCACCCTGTAATAGACTGAATAACATGTACTTTTGACCAATCATGTCACCTCATGTATATATGGCTCTATTGCTGCCAAGATTCTTACTTGAAGGTAACTTTAATAACTTTCCTGATGTTCTTTTCAGCCGGTTATGCATTTTGTGACCTTTAGCTTCTGATCAACAATGTAAGGACATATCCTGTGTTTGCGGTCTGGTGGGAAGGTCCCTTTCACCCTGTGACAACGGCGGTTTTCCTGACTGTTTGTATCCCTCAGTGGCGATCAAATACTTTTCATGCCCTGGAATGTTACTCGATGACAAAAAGAAAACGGTAAGTTCCAAAGTTTACAACGTAATAGATGAACTAGCAAGTTGAGGACCTCAATTTTTAATCTTTTTTTTGTCAAGGATCTCAGTTTTAAAGGCAATTGTAAAATGGCAGAAAAGGGCAGAGCAAAACATGTGAGAAAGAGGATTGGACCAGAGTTGTTGGGTTTAGTCTGGGTTGGGTTTTTTTTTTTCTGAATCAGAGTTTTGACATGTAACAGGAATTTCAGGGTAAAAAAAGGGAGTAGAAGAGGCAAAAAAGAAATTTTAAAAGAAACATGAAGAGAAAGTTGTCTGCTGGTCACTGTCCAGCTTATCTCATTAATGAAAAAAAGAAAAAAAGCAAAAAAGAACAGAGCAGTCTGCCTCGGAGGAAGTGTAACCAGAGTGTTCCTTGGAGACAAAACCTTGTCTCACATACTTCGGGCATGTTCTCTGGAGGAGCCCAGTCCTTGGGAAAAGACTTGATGCTGGGAAAGGTGGAGAGTCTGAGGGAGAGGCAGACCCTCAGGAGGGTCACACAGTGAAACATGGGCTTGAACTTGACAGGAATGTGCGGATGGTGCAGGATAGGGCAGGGTTTGATCTGTTGTTTACAGGGTCACTGTGAGTCGGCCAGAGGATACCTGGTGACACCACCACTTACTAGAGAAAATGACTGGGAGGGAATAACCAAGAATAAAGAAAGCTCAAAATGGTGACTTTTATGGTATGTGCATTTACTTCTCTTCTTGAAAGCTGGGTAAATGTGCCAAGTCAAAGGAGTCAAAAAAGGAAAGAATGTATGCGGAAACCTTCCAAAGTCAGCGCCTGTGTGAGGCAGGAGCCTGCCAGAGAGGGCAAGCATTTCCCACCAAAACAAGTGATTTGTTCTAAACCTGGAACAAACCCATCTCTGTGGGTCTACTTTCAGCCAAATAATAGACAAGCCTGTAAACTGATCCATAGCACAGGTAGGCACTCACCCAGAAAGAAGCATTTGCTCGAAGATAAAACTCAGGAGGTAGGAAGTGGTAGAATAGAAGGGTTAATAGAAGTGAGAGATCACAGGGTCCAAGTGGGAAGAATGTGGTTACTTGTGGGTATTGCCGTGAATGTTATACGACAATTTGTACAGGAATGGTTGAATGGAAAACCAATTCGTTTCATTAACTTTCCCTCAAATCACAATAAATTTTTTTTTAATGAAGCAAAAAAGTAAAGTGACTGAGAAGTGCTAACACTACACTCTGGTAAAGGTAGAAAACAAAAGGTGAGACTCAAAAAAAAAGGCAGTCCTGTTGAGTTCTGGCTCTCACACAGCTCACTATGTCATTCCATTTCCGTGAAAACTTAGAAAAACCAAATGCCTGCTGTTGAGTCAGTGATATGTCTTATCAACCCTCCCAAGGGAGCTCTCGTGGCTTAGTGGTAAGGAGCTACACGACCAACTCAAAATCTCACGGCTCGAATCCTCCACTCCTTTGGCAAAAAGATGGGCCGTTTCCTCCCATGTGATTTACTGCCTCTCATCCTTCTCTTAGGCACTTACTTCCCTTCCTCATTCCCTTTTTCTTTCTAAAAATTGCTGTTGTATCCAGGGACCCAAGTCTCATGTGATTTACAGCCTCTGGCAACCTGCTGGAGACTCAGCTGAGTCAGTTCTGACTCAATGGTACACAACCACCACTACCACCACAACAATGGGTTTCTGAGACTGTAACTTACATCAACCCTCCCAGTCTTCGTTTCCAAGACTACCCATCTTTCTCTTTCACTGTGGATGCAAACCACCAATGATCTTTTGGTACAAAGTACAGTGCACATATATTCTACACCACCAGAAACGTCCAGAAAAAGACAAGTCTTTAGTGACTGAAAGGAGGTTACTGGTTGTCTGGAGTTGAGGGTGACTATAAAGGGGACTGAGGGGTCACCTGGGACTGATGGAAAGATTCTAATACTGGATTTCGAGAGATGGTTGCGACTTTGTAAATTTATTAAAAATCATTAACCTGTACACCTAAAACAAGTGAATTTTATAGCATATAAACTATACCTTAAGAGTATTTATAGGTGCATGGTTTGAATCCACCAGATGTCCCTCTGGAGAAGGAGGGGCAATCTCCTCCTGTGCCAGTCAGATCCGATTGGACAGCACACAACGAGAAAAAAAAGTTTATTTTTTTTTTAAATGACAGCCTGCTAACCGAATTTTGGTTCAGGCTAATGAAGAGTGTCTGAAAAGACATTTTAAACATTAACAACTGTAGCAGTCAACTTGGCTTCATACTGTTATACATAACTTTCCAAGCCGCTTCACTTGGCTTGGGGCAGGGGGAGTGGTGTATAAGACATTGAAAAGATGGCCAAGAGACTGAATTATTGAAGTGGAAACTTTCTGCTATGCTGTTGAAGTTAAAGAATGTTCCGTGACTGACAGATTTTCCAGTGGGTCTGGACTTCTTGGCAGCGTCTCAGATTCTGTAGGGTTTTGTGGGCAGGCGACGGAGCTATTAGTGTGGGTGACAATCTTTTTCCATCATTATGCTTTATCCAAGGCAAGCTCTGGGAATAAATGATGCTGGTTAAAAAGCAAAAAGAAATCATCTGTAAAGAAGTGAAACACAAGAGCGATGAGGAGAAAGAAGCTGTGCAATCAAACCTCCAGTGTTTGTAAGGGGGACATTTTTCTTTTTGAATGCTGATTTCTGATTAAGGAACCTTGTGAACTGGGATCCTAAAAGCTTGTTAGCAGCTGCCTAGGATGTAACTGTTTGCTTTTCCCCATCCAGAGAAGGGAAGAACCTCAGAGATCCAAGGAAATAATTGGTCCCGAGGACTCATGGACTAGAAGCCTTCTCCCCTCCTCATCGTCATCTTCCAGGCCAATGTAGAACCCCCTCTGGATGCTGTGCTCTGGCTATCATCCCCCCCTCCAGACCTCCCTACTACAACCTTGGCGGCCAGCTATTCTCTAGAGCATACAAGCCAGTAACCAAATGTATGTAGCCAATTCCAATTCATGGGGATTTGCTTGAGTGTCAGAGACTATGGTCCTTAGGGTTTTCAATGGCTGATTTTTCTGGCAGTAGATTGCCAGGCCTTTCTTCCAAGGCACCTCCAGGTGGGTTACAAGATGCTCCCATCTTCCCTTGAGCATAAAAGCATGTTAAGTGTGCCCCATCCATTCCACAGCAAAGGGATCTGAGCAAATTCAGGGGAAAGGGACCCTTCTTTGTCCAGCAGATGACCACAAGCCAGATTCGTCACCCTTCTCACTGCAGCCTCTAAGGAAATCCCTTTTTACTTTCCCCTTCACTTCTGAGCTTTGCTGGTGAAATCTTGCAGGTTGTCGATTCTGATATGAATCAGGTGACTGGCTGTTTATTTACACAGGTCTGCTCCTTCCTGTCAGACCAAATCAAGGCTCACACTTGGTCAGACCGCCAGGATCCTGGAAGGTGGGACAGAGAAATCTAACACGAGCCCACGATACAGGAGAAATCTTGTCTGATGGTTCACCCAAGAGCCAGGTGCTCTGATGAGGGTGCGAGTGGATGTGTGTTGAGGAGAGAGGCATAGACTCCAGCAGTCAAAGACTACAGCCCTATTCACCCCAGAAGGGCCAGGCCCCGCTGTGGAGGAGGCCGCTGTGGATGAGGCAGCTGAGGTCAGCTCACCTGGGCTACTTCCCTGCTCCCAGAGGACTCGCAGGCAGGAGTTTCACTATCCTCGAATCCTATAGGAAAGTGAGTGCCTGAAGACAACCTACAGGAAAACCAGAAGGGGGGGAGAGGGGAGTGTGGGGACTCAGTCTTTTCCTACAGATGGACCCTCAAGTCCGCGCCCCTCTTCTAGTGTCCTGCGCCCTCACCCAAGCTGGCACTGCCACTCCTACTTGTTCCTGGACCTGGTGGGCGCAGCTAAGGTCCAGTGTGCGAACCGGTGGAGGATGCCCAGCTGAAGCTGCTGGGGCCGCGTGGCAGCACCAGGTCCAGGGAGAGGTCACGCTGCTCGTCCTGGGAGAACACAGGCCGGTAGCCCAGCAGCTGCAGGGCGCCTGCGCACAGCTCCTGCACACGGCGGATCTTGGAGAAAGGCAGTGTGTGGCGCCAGGCCTGAGAGACGTTGAGCGCGTCCCGCGACGTTGTCTTGAAGGCTTCCCGGCTTACGCTGGGCCCCGCGCCATGTGTGATGTTGTGGATCCAGGCCTCGAGCTGCGGCGTGAGGCGCAGGCCGGCAAAGGCGTAGAGCGCTCGGATCTCGGGCAGCGGAGCGCGCGCCAGGTCCTCGAAGCGCACCAGGCGGTAGCGGCCCCGCAGGAAGGGCAGCGGCTTGTGCAGAGCGGCCTCGGCGATGCGCACGTGGCTGCGACACACCTCACGCACCACGCGCAGGTCAGGGTCGGCCTCCACCCACGTGCCGTTGGTGCCCAGCACGATACCGTTGTCACGCGCCAGCGCCTTGGCCGTCTGCTCGCGGGAGCGCAGCACAGCGCGGGGGTCGCGCACCAGGTGCACGATGTGCAGGTTGAGCGCGGGGTCGCTGAGCAGCGGGTAGAGCACCTGCAGATTGAAGAAGCGCACTTCCTTGAGCACCACGTGGCTGTAGGAGCGACAGGCCTCCTCTGCCAGCGCGAAGGGCCGCCGAGCGCACAGCGGCTTGCACACCACCTCGCTGCTGATGGCGCCGCGCGGGAAGGCACTGCAGGCCGGCGGCGAGCACAGCGCCCGGCTCACTGCCCACTGGAAGAGGTCCGACAGGTTGCGGCGCCAGGGCAGGTAGGCATCGAACACGGCCATGTCGCACAGGAAGACGGAGCGCACCAGGTCACGCACAGCCATGTGCAGGGCGGGCGCACTGCCCTGGGACAGGGCGGTCCATACGTGCCACGCAGGTTCCATCAGGTAGAAGACATCGGGGTGCTGGCTGAAGAGCTGGCCCACCAAGGACGAGCCTGAGCGCCATGAGGACAGCACCAGCACATGCACACGCTCCTTGCTGTCCTCTGGGGACGGTGGCCGAGGCCATCCCGGCCTGGAGACCAGGAAGAGCAGTAGGCAGGTCTGCGTCAGCAGGAGCGCGGTCACGGCGGTGCTGGAGATGCGAGGCAGCCACATGGCGCCGAGGGCCTGTGAGAGAACAGAGCACTGAGGTCAGGAGAAGGCTGTGGCCACGAAATGAGAGAGATCGATAATTGACACTTGAGATTGACACTTGGGGAGTGGATTCTCAACCAGTATGTACCTCAGCCCACCCCAGGTGCCTGGTTTTTTTGTTTTGTTTTGGTTTTTTTTGTCTGAATCGTTTAAGTATCTGCCCCACATATTAAATTAAACATTGGCCTGGCATAGCAGACATTCAGTAAAATCTGTTGAATGAGTAACCACAGCCCGTCAGGTAAGACTTAAAGAAAGCTTCTCTCAACAGTAAGAGCCATCCCTGAGAACTATGAACACAACCAATGGCCAGTTGGAGCGGCCTAAGGTAATGGAGAAGGACTTTGAGCTTGGTAAGGGAAAGGGTCAGCAAGAAAGAGGAAGGCCCTCTGTGAGACACAGTGGCTGGAACAATGGGCCCAAACTTAGCAATCCTGTGAGGCACAGGACCCAGAGTTTTATTCTACTTTGTATCCAGCTGATAGGAGTTGGAACCAACTCAATGGCTCAACTTAGAACTTTAGGTAACTTAGCTAAACAACCGGAGGCGCATTTTGGCCAATCTAAGAACCTTCAGGCTCCCTCTGGCTGAATCCTGGCTCCGATTCGTCCCTGCCTGTGATCTTAGGGCTCAGGTACATCCCTGCCTGTGATCTTAGACAAGACGTGTTCTCTCCATACAGACTCAGCTTATTCTGCCTCCTAGGACTTCTGCAGTGAGCTTGGTGGGAACATACAAACCCTCTTAACCGGGAACTTGTACTTTTACCTAGTGCACTCGTTTTGTTTTCTTTTAAATAGCAGGTCCAACTTCTGTTATTATAAATAAGAGAGAAAAATCAACCCAGTCAAAACCACGCCAATTCTGGTGGGTTAAGTGTTGGACTTATAATTGAGAAGTCAATGATTTGAATACACCAGTTGCTGCATGAGGGAAAGATGAGACCGTTTGCTTCCATAAAATGTGTAGCCTTGGAAACCTAGCGGGGCAGTTTCAGAAGGATGGACAATCTCCCCCTGTGCAGTTAACTGCCCCTGACAATCCACCGGTGGGTCAAAAATGGGTTGGTCTGACTCAGTGGCACACAACAGCTCAGGGTTGCTAGGAACCAGGACTGACGTAACATCAGCAGTTTGTTTTTAACTGCCATCACCTATAGGGGGTGTTTGTAGCAGAGCCCCGCGGAAGGGAGAGCTAAGTGGAGCCAGAGAAGGGAGAGCAGAGAGCAGAGCTCCTGCCCTGTGACTTGTCCCTTTCTTCGCTGTGGTCACTCACTGCTGCCCTACACTGATCACAAATCTTTGGAGTTTCTGAGGATCTGGAAGAAAAGCCTAGGAAGCAGAGAAAGGCCGAACATGACTCAACTCTCTACCCTTATTCAAATCCTCTCGCTTCAAAGTCAAGTCCTTGTCCAAGTAATGCCTTTTTCCTTAAGAAACATCAAAAAGCAAGCAAAGAAGAGGGAATCTGACTACTATGAAGAAGGAAACACCAGAAGTGGAGAGCATCCTTTGGACCCAGGATCCCTGTACCGAGAACCTCCTAGATCCAAGACACAGACTTCCTGTCTCCAAGCTCTGACGCACCTGAGCCCAGGCAGCTGGCTGCTCTCTCCCATCCCTGGGAGCCCATCCCTTGCAACTGTACAGGGCCCTGATGATCCTGCCCAGACACAGAGCCCCTGGCCAGCTCATCCTCCCCACAGTGGGAAGAGTAACTTGCAACTCCAGCACAAGGTGTTACCTGTGCTCCTGGGAAGCGAGTCTCTCCTTGACTGACTCAGAGTCCAGGAACTGCTGTGTGATTCTGTTACAGATGGAAACTTCTTACACCAGACAGAGTGGTCACACCTGGAAGCTTGCTGATAAGGAGTTTTATGTCCAGCAAGTCGGCCAACTGTCCTGAGGTTCAGAGGGAGGTACTATGGTCTTAATCCCGGTGCAGTCTATCTTCAGGATTGAAATTTATCCCTCCTACCCTCTCCAGGAGGTAGAAACGATTATCGGTTTGTAGGGGGTTCAGAGTTTTGATTACACAGCTAGTAAGGAGCAGAGCACTTGGGTTTCAATCTCAAGTGTAAGACTGTGTGGTCTTAGCCTAAGCTTCTGCAAAATGGAGTCCCTCCATCCTGAAAGCCCAATTCCTCTCTCTTATAAAGAGGCCCTGGTGGTGCAGTGGAGCTCTGGTGGCCTCACAATAAGACACGCAGCTCGAATCTAGCAGCTGTTCTGCACGAGAAAGATGGGCAGTTTCCTCCCATGAGATTTGCAGCCTCGGTGACAGTGACAGAGATGCTGTTTGGAGTGGTTAGCACCCCCTACTGGTGAATCACAGGACAGGTCCTTGGGATTTGGGCACAAAATCCTGCCATCTTCTGCAGAGGACAATTTGTCCCTTTGAGAAATCACTTTGGCTTGCTACTGGGTCTTAGCAGAGACTGAACACCTAACCATGGGCCACAGGTCACTCTACGGCTGGAGCTGCCCCCATCATGAACTGAGTGGTGTCTGATCCAGAGTCATAAGGTTGCATCATTAAATGGAAGTGGTATACACAGGATCAAACTCATTGAAGACCCAGAGGCACTGGTAAGGGGCAAGAAGTGGCCCGAATGCCCATGGTGGTCACTCCTGTCACGTTGTAGTCAGCTCCCAACTGGCACTAAAGGCCTTATGAGGAGTGCCTTAGGGTCAGCTGACTGAAGAAGCATGGTGCACGGTGTTGGCAAATGGCTCTGAGGACATGCTGGTGGCTCTCGGAAGTGGACAGTGGCAGTTCTGCAGTCCATTCCTGGGACCCCTCTGATGGGCAGCTGTGAAAAAAATCCTCCCAGTGGGCAGAACTTCAAGCACTGCACCTGGCCATTCCCTTTGCTTGGAAAGAGAAATGACCAGATATGTGCATTTACCTGCAGATTCATGGGCTGTGGCCAATGGTCTAGTTGGATGGTCAGGAATCTGGAAGGACTGAAACATTGGTGACAAGGAAGTATGGGGAAGAGGTATGTGGACAGACCTCTCGGAACGAGACAAAGAAGTGAAGCTATTAGGGGAGCTCTGGTGGCCTAGTGGCAAGAAGCTGTACTGCAATCCCAAAGGTACATGGTTCGAATCCACCAGAGTCTCTGCTGGGGAAGGAGGGACAATTTCCTCCTGTACCAGTCAGATCTGATTTGACGGTACATGCACAAGAAATAATAAAATAAAATAAAAGAAGTGAAACTATTTGAGTCTCACGTGACTGCTCACCAAAGGGTGACCTCAATAGAGAGGATTTTAACAATTCAAGTGGGTAGGATGCCACGTTCTGGGAAACAACTATCCTCTTGCCCCACCACTCCAGTCACTGCCCAGAGGGCTCATGAGCAAATGAACATGGTGGCAGAGATGGAGGGTATGCATGGGTTCAGCAATGTGGACTTCCACTCACCAAGGTCAGCTTGGCGACAGCCACCGAGTATCCAATCTACCTGCAGTAGAGACCAATACTACTGAATCCTCGGAAAGACACCAGTCCTCAAAGTAATCAAATAAATTGTGGTTGATTGATTACACTGGACTTCTTCCACTGTGAAAAGGGTAAAGTTTGTCCTTACTGGAACACACACTCTAAATACAGATTTGCCTTTCCTGTCTGCAACACTTCAGCCACGACCACCGTCTGTGTGCTTACAGAAAGCTTATGGATGCTCATAGTATTGCACACACTGAGAAGCCACAGCTCAAGGCAATCTCCTTACAGAAAATGAAGAGCAGCAATGGCCTTATGCCCCTGGATTCACTGGTCTTGACTGGCTTGATAGAACCATGGACTGGTCTTCTAAAGACAATATTTCAGCACGAGCTAAGTGGCAGTACCTTGCACTGTTAGAGCAATGTTCTCCAGGATGCTGTATATACTCCAAATAGTGTCCAGTTCAATGCATGGGTCCAGGAATTAAGGGGTGGAAGTGGAAGTGGCAGCACTCACTGTTACCCCTATTGACCCACTTGCAAAATGTTTGCTTTCTATCTTTGCAACCTATACTCTGCAGATCTTGACGTTTTAGTTTCAAAGGAAGGAAACCCTCACCTGGAAACAAAACTGATTGCACTGAACTGGAAGTTATGTCACCCAATCATTTTCGGCTGCTCATGCCTTTGGGACAATAGGTGAAGAAGTGAGTTACTCTATTGTCTGGTGCAACTGATCCTGATGGCCAAGGGAAAGTATAACAAATGGAGCTAAAGGAGAGTATGTCTGGAATACAGGAGATTCCTTGAGTTGTCTTTCAGTATTACCATCCTCTGTGATTGAACTCAATGGAAAACTACAGCCAGCCAATTCCGACATGACTTCTAATGGCCTCGACCTTTCAAGAATGAAGCTTGGCCTCTCCACCAGGCAAAAAACCACAACCAGCCAAGGTGCTTGCTGAAGGTAAAGAGAATGTTGAGTAGATGATGGAATAAGGTGGTTCTGATTAGCAGCTACAACCACATCATCAGGTACAGAATAAAGAATCAGAATTGCTATTTCTTCCTTATATGCAGGCAGTGGCACTAGGGACATCATATCCAATGTCAGATGGATCTTGGCTGAAAGCAGAGAGGACCAGAAAACTGTCTATCTGTGTTTCATTAACTATCAAAAGCATCTGAATAGACCACAACAAATTGTGTCTAACCGTGAGAAGAATGAGAATCCCAGGACACTTAATTGTGCTCATGCAAAATGTATATCAAAAAGCAGTTGTGAGAACAGTGCAAGGAAACACTGCATGGTTCAAAGTGAGGAAAGAGGTGCATCAGGAATGTAACCTGTCTCCACTTTTTCAAACTCTGCGTGGAACAGATCCTTCAGAGGCAGTCCACGTCTGTACAGACTTGTAGCCTTTGATACCACAGAGGCCGTTCTACTCTGTCTACAGGGTTGTTACAATCTGGATGACAGTGGGGCCTCCATCATCCAAAGCAAGCACT